ATTTAAAAACAACAATAATGGAAGATAAGGACCGTTGTGCTAAATTTATGAGAAATGACCTTGGAAAAGTACTTAGTTATGATGAAATGATTTGTACTAGAATTCAGGAGAATGACAAGAAATTAAAAGACCTTGTTTATTCTAATTATTCTAAGTTTATTCAAGTCACTGAAACAATCACGAAAATTAGACATAGTGCTGAATCTTTTGATAATGATTTAACTTCTATATCAAAGTCTTTGTCTGAATTAACTTCTCGTTATAAAAATATTCATTCAAATTTATCTCCACTTAGAGAAGAGCTTATTAGTTTACATGAAAAACAACAACAAATTGAACAACAACAAGAGTTTTTAGATCTTCCTGATATCTTACGTCAAACTGCATCAGAATCTAAATGGATTGAATTTGCTAATGCTTATACATCTAGAATTGATGGGTTAAAAAAGAATGCTCATATCAAAGCATTTGCATCTATTTTAGCAGAAGTTGAAGGTGCAGTAGCAAGAGCAGAAAAAGTATTAAACAATGCTATTTCTAAAGAATATGATACTCCTCAAAAACTTGGACAGTGTTATGGGGCATTAGCCCGTCTTCATACCAGTGAAGTAGCAGTTATGGAAATTAATTGTATTGCTAAAATGCAAAAATATTGTGAGGTGATTGTTGATAATTCTTTTACAAAAAAAGAAAGTAATGTTGTTAGCTTCTCGTCTTTTATTTCAACTGCAGCAACAGCTTTTGTTAATGCAGTTCAATCATGTTGTGAGGCATATATTATAGCATTCAAAGAACCATTTAATCTTGATAGCAAATCTTTTGATAATTTTGTTGGACTTTCCATCAGTAATTTCTATTCAAATGCTAATAATATTGTTTCACAGGCATCGTCATTAGATAAACCAGAATTAAAAGTGGTTGAAGCATTAAGAGGAATAAGCGATGCTACTGGTAAGATTAAAAATTTAAATCAATACGGAGATTATAATAAATATATTGAAAATACTGTTGAAAATGCTGCTCGATTTGGCATTAAAGAACTTTGTAAAAAGGTTGGATTAAAAGCAGGGAGTGTATTTGATACAATTAGTGTTGATATTGATCTTTGTGTTTCACGAGGATTTGTTGGATTTAATGGACTGGCAGAGAAAAAACAAAATCAAATTGATGATATTCAAAAAGAATTAAAAAATAGAATTGATTCAATTAAACAAATTGGTGGTGTTTATGAAACAACTATTATGAGTTCATTGAAAGAATATGGAAGTGATATTCTTACTGTATTTCTTCAAAAAGCAGAATCTGTTTGTGAAAATAAACCATTTGTATGTGTTGCTATTGCAGGATGGATATTTTCTGCAAAAATACCAGAAACTATTGCAATCGGACTAAAAACTGACTCATTATCACAACAATATACTGACCAATATGAACAGTTTCCAGAAAAACTAATTAAAAAGTTTACTGACCTTATTTCTGAACAAATGCATTCATCATTTATTGAGTTATTTGCAATGAATCATCCTCCATTATCACCATCATTATTAGTTCGTTCAGGGTCATTGAAAATATCATCTCTAATGATAGGTGTATCTAATATATTAAAATTATATTTTCCTGATAACACTAACCCATTTGATGATAATGCTCCTAAGAGAGATACTAGCAAAACATTTTATTTTGATAGTGATGAATCTAAAGATGATCTTATTGAATTAGAAAGAACTTCAATCATTGAATCAGTTGTTGTCAAAACAATGAAACAATTAAGAAATGACATTCCATTATATACTGCCCCACCTCCAGATGGATTGACTCTCAAAGAATTCCAACAATACCATGTTGATTTGATGGTCTTTTCTAACACAATTAATGAAATAATTAAAATAAAAAGTTCTAAAATTGAAAATTATATAAAACAAATCAATTTACGTCTTGAAAGCTGTTGTTCTGAAGGAGCCATTACTGCAACAAATGAAGTTTCATTAATTAAAGAAGCAATGTTAAAAATAAATAATTGATGTCTTCATTTAAAAAATAAATTTAATATTTAATTTTGACTACTAACTATTAAAATTATTCTTCAAACCTCCACAAAAACGAGTCAGTAACTTCTTTTATATTTGCAATATTTCCATTACAACTTTCAATTTTTTGTTTTAATTCAACGCTCCCTAACTGAACTATTTTTTTATGACTGGCTAATAACCCTTTAAAAAAGTCTATTATAAGTTGTGGTGAATCAACGTTGTACTGAAAAAGTGGACGGAAAGTGTCAGCAACATCGTCAAGAGAAAATCGTTCCAAAAAATAAGGCATTTTCCTGGAATATGAATTTTTGAATATTCACAAATGTGAAAAAAAATAAAAAACAAACAATAATTCATCAACAATTTGTTGGTACTTTACTTTAATTTCTTCACTTGGTGGATTAAGTGCACGTACCATACTTGCTTTTTGCCTTTGAATACCCATATTTTTAATTTCATTAATAAAACTATCACCTGGACTACTTTGTTCCTTATATTTATTATTTAAATTAACTTCTTTTTGAACCAATGAAACAACTTGATCCAAAGAAGCACCTTTATTTAATACTTCTTGAATAGTACTATTATACTTTTTATTTAATAAACCTTTTGAATTCATTTCTTTAAGCATATTCAATAATGGTTCATAAGAGTTAATGTAATTTTTAAAAAAAAGTCCAAATGTATTTAAGTAATACATTGGATCAACTCCTGGTATTGAACTTCTAATAATAAATTTATTGTACTAATTTAAGTAATGACAAAACAAACGTGAATTTTTCAGCAAGAGTATTTGCCTGTTCTTGTGTTAGTTGAGTACTAAATGAACGAAGTTTGTTACTGAATTTAGAATTATTAGTACTAGAGTGAGAAGCTGGTGGCGGTGGTGGTGGTATTTGATATTGTAATGTAGTTGTAGTATGAATTGTTTCTGGTTTAGGGACTGAAGTAATATTATTTTGAAAAGAGGTTGTTTGTGGTTGAGTTGGTAGAGTAGTTGTACTAGGTACTGGATTTGTTTTGGGTATTGGTGGTGGAATAGAATAAGTAAAAGTAGTTGGGTTTGGGTTTGTGTGAATAGTAGAATTATTAGTAATAGTTACAGTATTTGTTTTAGGAAAAGATGTAGTGACTTGTCTGTTGTTGAGACTTGTAGTACTTATATTTAAGTTAGGTGAAGAAACAGTTTGATCCATCTCACCAATACATCGACTTTTTTTAAGTTCAGAAGTTCGTTTATCATTAAGAAAGGTATAATTTAAATATCTTTTATATTCTGAGTATTTAGGCTCAGACTTATATTTTCTACTTTCAAAAATTTTCCATCCAGTTAACCCCATGACATCTTTTTGGTTTTCATTAATCCATTGTGTATACTGTTTTAGTAATTCTTGTTTCCTTTCTTCTTTTTTTCTTTTAATATATTTTTCATTTTCAGTAATGCACATTGACACCCCCATTTTTTCTTCAGTAAATTCATTAGGATCTGCAGGAGATTGGTCTAAATATTTACAATAGTCTTGAAACTTCATAAATGACAAGTATTTCTTTTCATCAATACAATTCAAGAATTCTTTTTTAATTGGTGATGGGCTTCTATAACTTCCCATTAGATAACTAAGTACTGACGGACTAATTTTTTCCATTGCATCCTTCCAAGTTGCTTCTAAATCTTCATTACTAATGGTTTGCCAATAAGAGTTACCTTCATCATCAGAAGTAACATCCTCTTCAACATCACTTACATCCTTTGGTTCATCTTTCATGCAACTAATAATTGGTGATTGTGTTCTATCTATTACACAATCGTCACCTTGGTCCTTCTCTTTACCACACTCACTTGTTTCTTCTTTCTTTGTTTCTTCTTTCTTTGTTTCTTCTTTCTTTGTTTCTTCTTTTTTCGTTTCTCCTATCTTTATTTCTTCGTTTTTTGTTTCTTCTTCGTTTTTCACCTCCTCTTTCTTTGTTTCTTCCTTACCCATTACATCTTCTTGTTTTATTTCTAAGTTTTCATCATCATCATCAGTAATAAAATAAATGCCTAAATCGTCCATTGAGTGATTTAAATGATTTTTGAGTTCCTTTTTTAAGTAATAACTCTCAAAAATTATGCAATAAACATCATTTTCATAAATCGAATGATATAACAAACAATTACGATGTCTTAATACTTATTCTAATTTTACTTTGTGAATAAAAAAAGAATGATTTATGATAAAAAATGAGTGCAACCAAGTGAATTAAACAAAGAAGAATGTTAGAAAATTTAATATTTTAAATTTAATCTTTTTGGAATTAAAAAAACATTAATTATCATTAAATGTTAAATTTATATTATTTTTATAAATTAAGTTTCTTACAGTTACCCCTTCTTATTAATGTTCTCAAAGTTAAACATTATCGAAATTCATTGTACTCTTCAGTTATTATATTTATCTGTTATTTTTATTAAGTTAAATAATTTGTATGACTAGATATCTTGTTTATTGACTCTTAAGAATGATACAATATATTTTATATTTAAAGACATACAACTTACTTCTTCCACACCAGAAAAAGAAATAATTAAATAACTTATTTGGTGTTAATTGGTCAGAAATATTACTTAAAAGTTTAATTGAAAATTAGCATTAAAGTGTGAAACTAAAATAGAGTTTATAATTAATGAAAAAGAGTAAAATACAAAATAATGAAATTAGTATTAAAAAAAAAAGAAAGGCATGAAAGTATGTTAATAAATAATATTTATGATAAAATAATTGAATCTAACTGTTATAATCAACTGTTAAATAAACAATAATGAAATTGAATATTTCCACTTAATAAAACTATAAACTGTAAATTCTTTATTACAATTAATTTAATAAATATTTTAAAATATTATTATACTAAAATATTAATAAAAAAATTGATTAATTCTAAATTTATAAATGGAATTTGATTTACAAAAAAAATTCCTAATTAACAGTTTTATTATTTTTGGTATTTTCATAAAAGTTGTTTTTCATTTATTCTTTTTGTAGAGTTATTCAATAAAATTTAGAATTAAACTCTATAAAAATATAGAAAAAATATGAAATTCCATTCTATAACTACAAATTAAAGAAAGCTCACCAACAATGCTCAATTTATTTGTTAAGAACGATTCCTTCATAAGTTTCTTTGAACCAGTTAATGGCATCTTCTTTAGTTAAAAGATGATCTCTTCCAATCTTATCTTGCATTCTTTTTCTTCGAGAAACTCTGAATCCTGGTCTAGCAAGAACAACAAAGAAATCCATACCATAAATTCCAACTTGTGGATCATATTTTAATCCAAGATCAATGTGTTCTTCAATACCAAATCCAAAATTACCAGTGGCTGAGAAATTGTTAGCTTTAAGTTCAAATTCCTTAACTTTCAATC